TTTCTGTTACTAACTTTTTTACATTACAATGAAATATACAGTATCATAACTTTAGCATACAGGCACTTAATTAAAACCTGGCTTGCAGCACACATAAAGTACAATTTAGAAGTTATTTGTTTATACATAAACATTTCAGGTTTCCAGCACTAGTTCTGACTCAGGAAGAATCATTTTCCTTCTGCTGGTCAGCTTTTTCTCCTTTACAAAGACTACAGAGTTTTACTGTGAAAGAGCTCACAGCTAGTTTTCTTCTCACACGTCTCACCTCTTTCTTCTGCTGCTGTTTATATTCAGGGACACAGAGAAACGCTTATACTTACTTGCCCTACTCTACTCTTAAAAATCTCCTGAACATTCTGCTCTGCCCTGCCATGAAGCCAAAGAAACTGTGCCAGCTGATCATAGGTGGTGAACTGTAATTCAACCTCTTGCGTTCTTATCCTTAGTCTTGCCACGCTTTCATTCTTGCCTTCTCTTTTTATTTAGGAAAAGGCAACAGCAATTTTGTTGTTGATAATAAACTACATTTATTATATTACATATTACATTTACTACTAACCACTGCATTCACATGCATATCGTTATATTCTAATTATACCAAACCTGTATTTCTTTTTATGCCTTTTATAACAGGCTAGTAGCAAGGCCGTCATCTTGTATGTCTGTATCCAGCACAAAGAAATCCAATGCCAAGACATACTTTGGCATCTTGTTTTATGTTGCACAGTGTATTTCAAGATGCGTCCAATCCAACTGCAAGTTTATGTTTCAACCCCACAAAATTCAACTTCCCCAGTGCTCCTCATTGCACAGGCTACTGGAACTGTGACCTCCTACTCCCTGATTAACAGCACAAGCTTCCTTTTCTGGTATTTGTTAGGTATTGACCCAGAAAAAGAAAACACCTCAAAAAATCCCCTCAAAATATTGGGTTATGGTAAACGAAGCATTTACTGGTAGACATGTTGTTAGTAAAAACCTACACAGCTTGGATTCCTGTCATCTTGCTATGTATAACTCACGTTAGCTTTGCACCTCAGTTTCTAAGAGAATAATCCACAAACACAGGTGTTACTCCTCACCACTCAGAACTCAGTAAGACTTGCAAAGCACTCTGAATCACCCAGTAGTATTCACCCGGTAGTATGCACCACATCAACACAGGACCTTATGATTAACAGAAGCTTTTCTTCCGAGACAAAAGAAATGTGTATTTTGCTTTGAGTAAGCACTTTCTAGCTATATTTTAATACTGCTCATGTAATGAGCCAAGCATTTGTTCGAAGTAAGCTTTTTCTTCTTACATGTTGAGAGCATGGCTTTCCTCCTGGTGGAAATGCCACTGGAAAATGAAGGGCTCGATGAGGTGGTACCATTTTCTTCTTCTTCAAGATTGAGTTCAGCCAATGTGCTGTAATACATCTCTTCCTTTCTCTTAAAGCCTATGAATACATGCATAAACACCTTTTAAAAAAAATCAAAGTACATCTTTATTTTATTTTAATCTTTTTCTACAATACAAAGCTTTGATTTTAATCATTTATTTTTCTCTAGTTTTTCAGGATCCTTCTTCTCATAGCATCTTCCTCCGCATTCTCTGGAATAAGTCTACCACATGCATTAGGAAAGTTTGTTGTACCATAAACCATAAATCATAAAAAAACACATAATCAAAAACTTTAATTTTGTACCTACAGTCTAAGCATGAAGTACATACTGAAAAGCCCTACCTTTCCCGTAATAAAATGAAAGCATGCATGAATACCTGTCACTGGTTTGCTTACCTGAGCATACATGTTACTGACTTGGCTTTCACAAAGAAGATGTGTACATCTGCTTGTAAGGGTAGGGTCCACTGTCCCACCATGTGCTTGAATGATCTGGTAAGAGAACAAACCCCAAACTTCTAATATATATATATAAGAATTTTAAAATTACACTAAGAAACACTCTGAAATTAAAGTCTAGTCTTTAGGACACTGCCACCATTAGCACCATTTCACTGAAGAGTTACCCCCCCAAAAAGGTTTGTTATCTAGCTTAAAAACATTTTTGAAAAAAAAAAATGGAGAAAACAAAATTAAATATGCACCTTTTCACTGAGCTACAAAAAGTCTATTTTTTTAGAATCAGTTAAAAAAAAAAGATATATAAACAAAAATAACCCTTCTCACTTTTTTTATTTTTGCAGTATAACTATTAAACAATTTTTCATGAACTATTCAATTCTATCTCAGCAATAAACACAAGTGCTGTTAAAAATGTCAACAGCTTACTTGATTATGCAAAATTGTAGGGAAAAAATCAACTATAAAATCCATCAGAAGTTTCTGAAGAACATCAAAGTCCTCTCATTTAGGAAAGGATACAATCAGATTTTTCTGAAAAATAGAAGTTGGCAAAAAATAGAAACACTCTACTCCTCCATCTTATTCACTCAGGTGGATACCTCACAGGCTACTAAATGCCAAAATTATATGTAAAAAAAGTGTCTTTTTATACAATCAAGTTAAAGATAGAGAGCAACGCAATATTACATTTGCTGCACTATAGCTGTCTGGTTAATAGCATAAATACTCAGGAAATAGTTAAGTCTGTAACTTATTTAGCCAATGTTCTGACTAAAGACCTAATTCAACCAGGCTGCACATCTAAAGCATTTTTATTATTTTTTCTGGTCAGCTGCAGTTGAATTATTGTTTTTAGGTTGCAACACAAACATTACACAAAAGGATGCCTAAAGAAAAGTGAATAGTGCTGAAATACTTCCAATCATTCCTCTTAGGATTTAATTACTATGACATTATGTTATCACAGGTTTTTAAAAATACAGCAGAATCTTACCCGTTTCCAGGTCGCTAACAGCTGTTTGTCAGACATCTGTTCTGGGTAATCAGCAATTGCAAAGACACAGCCCAGTAGGAAATACTCTTCTGGAACTGGAATAGTTTGGCACATAAAAGAACAAAAAAATAAATACTTAAAAGTCTGAAGAGTTCATCTCAGAACATATTTGCTACACTAATCTTTCCTATTACCAGGTTATAAACTTCATTCAATTTCGAAGTAAATCCTCCTTGGAAAAAGCAGGATCCAAAATTTCAAAGCTGACAGCCAAATTTAAAGGTACAGTTCAGCCCAGGGTTTGTTTTTGTTCTGAGTGGTTTTTTTTTTTTTTTTTTTTCCCTGGAGGAAGAGGGGCTAAAGGGGTAGAAGGAAGGAGCCCCAAAAGGAAACGTAAGACAACAACTTACTCTTTTACATAGATCAGCTATGAAGAGTCAAAACAATCAAAAAGCTTTCAGTTCTACTAGCATGGACAGAATTCTAAGCAAGGTATGTCAACTTTCTGATACTGAATCCTCATTGATTTACTAGTATTTCCAAAATTTAAGCTGTCTTTCCAGTTTTTACCCTCTTTGAAAGCTTCCCCTTCCCCTCTTCCAAAGTAAAAAAAAAAAAATTAAAAAAACTTATGGTATGCATAGACTAACACTGTTCTCGTAGCATAATTTATATGCTAGTGGCATAAAGTATATATTTGAAAAGAGAAAGTTCTCAGTGCTCTCAGGCTTTTCAGACTTCTGGATCATCCTTAGTTATAATTTAAGCTGTTTGCCTAAACATTAGTAAAACAGGTCCTGAGCCATGAATGGCGGCGTTTCTAAGTCTTACAACCCCATACTGTAAACACAGCATTATTTTTTGATATTCTAACCCACGTTATGTCATGTCATTAGCCACTTTTTTCCAGGATCAGAAGGCAATAATTACTAACTCTCCGCTGCTGGATCGTGTCCAAAAAGCGGCTGCTGTTGCAGTTGTTGCTGTTGCTGCTGGTGATGTTGTGGCTGCTGGGCTGCAACTTGATGCTGTAGTGCTTGAGATGTCTGAGTTAAGTGCTGCGTCGCCTGATTCTGCATTTGCTGTTGCTGATGCTGTTGGTGTAATCGCTGTAAGTGCTGCTGCTGCAATTGCTGCTGCTGTATTTGCTGCTGCTGCTGTTGCAGCTGTTGTTGTTGCAGATTCTGTTGCTGGAGCTGCTGCAATTGTTGCTGCTGGAGCTGCTGCTGCTGCAACTGATGAAGTTGCTGTTGCAAAGCATGCTGCTGTTGGAACTGGAGCTGTTGCTGAGGACGGTGTAGCTGCTGTTGCGCATGTAACTGCTGCTGTGGAAACTGAAGCTGCTGTTGCGCAAACTGGTGCTGCTGATGAACTTGCTGTTGCTGTTGTGAAAACTGATGAGGCTGCTGCTGTTGGAAAGACTGCTGGGAAATCTGGGGTTGTTGCTGCTGCTGCTGTTGTAGCTGCATAAGTTGTTGAGGTTGAAGGTGTAAAAGAGGATGGTGCTGTTGTTGCTGTGCTTGATGTGACTGCTGTAATAAATGTGTCTCTGGTGTTAGTTTCACTTGACTAAACAGCACCGCATTTGGATGTCCCTGTTGGCTATGATTTACTTGTTGTTCTAAACTTTTTGTAGGTGCTGAAAGTGATTGTAATATCTAGAAAACAAAGATTAGTTTTGTGACCTTTTTGTTGTCATTCAGTTTTAAAAATATTTAAAGAACTACTGGGAAAATACAATTCTCAAAAGAAAACAACACTATGCTTAAATACATTGTGAGCTAAACGAAAATCTTCAACTGTTTATAGCAAAATGAAAAGGCAGGACTTGCACCTAGAAAAGCGTGGAGCTTTTTATAAGGCAATGCACATTTTAGCAAAATTTAAGATTCAAGCCCATCCCTGTATTATTGATGATATCTCCAATAGCATTATGGCTATTAACACTATATTAATAATTACATTGATCAACTCAATCAACTGTAATATTTCATTTTACAATCCTCTTGGCCCCTTAAGTTCAAAGCTTCGTGCTACAGTCTTACTTTCTTTAACTTAGAAATTCCTAACAATGCCTCTACTAATTAGTGCTGTTTGAAACATGGGAACTTAATACAACCTTGCTTTCTTTTGAACCAATTCAGGAATATTTAGCTCTATTTTTTAAACTGGATCCCAAAATACAAAGAAAAATATTGATCTACTGAACACTAATAGTTTCTTGGGAAAAAAACCCTAACCAACCCATACTTAAGAATAATAGCTTTCAGATTTATCCCGTGCTGAAGTAATCTGCAGTTTGATTTAATTTTTAGATGTGTAACTTGCTGTTAAGGGAAAAATCATTTCACGTTAAGCAGACACAAGTTAGCAAGTGAGTTTTTGAGGCATCAGAAAAGGGAAAATTAGGCAAATTCCTAATAGATTAGGATGAGTCCTACATATTTATTAAAATATTTTAATATAAACTACCTATGAAAAATGAGAAGGAGCAATAGGGAACTCTACACTTGCCCCTCAAAGTCTTTTAAACATGAAGTCAGCTTTGGCAAATCCTACAAAGCTTGTTTCCTTCACCCACACCATTTCATCCCATACAGTGTAAACTTCAGTGATGTGTGTGTGCGCAAGAGAGAGGAATCAAATCACATCACTAAAACACAAAGGCAATTAACTGTATCCTCTCCATGAGACGTCCATCCACTCTTCATCAGAGGTGGCTCAAGTGGTTTTTTTTACAAAGCACTTGAAAACATCTACGGTTTCATCCAAGTAATTTTGATGTTGGTATAGCATACATTTACAATCACGGTTATCAATGTATCACCCATCACTAATGTCTCGACAGCACCACAGTATAAACATTCAATAGCTAAAAATAACATACACAAAAAGAATGTTTCCATGGCTAAGTATGAGGAGAGCTCTCCACGCTGCTCTCCACAGTAAGTCCCAAAAGTCAAAATTACAGAAGCTTCAGGACACGTATTTCAAAATAAAGGGATAAAACTTTCAAAAGTATCCTAGGGCTATATTCAGAAAGTAACTTCGTATCTGCAGAATGCCTTATTGTTACAGATATTGCCATTCAGCAGAAATCTGAGGTTCAAATTAAACATTAACTTCCCAAGACTGTGCACGAAGACATGGAATCCACCCAAGACTGGTACCCAAGCAGGATACAAAGTACAATTTAACCTAGCCGGAGGGAAGTTAATAAGGAAAAAGGTAGAACTGGTATTCCTCCCTCTAGGAAGCAGATTCACAATTCTAAGATGCAACGCTTTTCTCCAAGTGCTGGAGCTAGCACAGCAACCTACACAGCAGCCTGAAACCATACTTGAGAACAGTCCTTGCACACCACAGTCAAGACCCTAGTCTAACGGGCTTTTGGAGAAGAAAGTCTAGCCAAAGCACCACACCATCAACTGCCCTGTAGCTCCATAAGTATTACTTACAGAATAATACTTCCACAGGGACACCGCTAAAGAGTATTTGATAGTACAATGAATGGGTTGTAAATGTGGTGTTCAAACATGAAAGCATCAGCCAACTTACCAGCACTGGCCAACCAACCAGGACTGTGGTGGTTCTGCTCAGTCCTTACCCAGAAGTCTCAGTCCTTAAACAATTCAAGGCACTGAGAACAGGAATCTAAGACCCAGTTTCAAAAGGAAGCCTGCATTTCCGTTTTGTATTCAGAAGTCATATAAACAACAAAGAACCAACATTTCTGAGTGACTCCACTTTTTGTGTTTAAGTACTAGCTGTAAGCTTCCATGTTATTTAGGCACCTTTGAAAGTTTTACCTTCAGACGAACATCCAAAAAAATACACCAGTACAATTATTTAAGTAAAAGATACATCTAACATTAACCAGCACCTACTTTTCTCACATTCCCTTCCCATGAACATCTTAGAATCTCAATGCTGCAAGTTATTCTAGTGCATGCTCACTCACTTTTTACTTTCTTCTAACAATAAATTCAATACAAAAGCTGCAATTATTTCAACTATACGAGTGGCTTAAGAACTTAAGTTAGGACTTCTGCATCATAATCCTGACTATACTATATAACAACTTAATGATGCCCAGCAGAACAACACAGTATAGAACTGAACCTAGTGCGAGAACAATCGATTTCAGAGTTTTATGTGTTTATAGCACAAATAAGTAATTCCTTGCACTGAATAAAAAGCTAGAAGGGTATAAAATCAGGTTTCCTGAAGTAGCCAAATAATGCTAAATCAATGAATTTTTTTTTTTTGCTCTTATCAAGAAATCAATACTGAAACTCTAACCCACACTATAGTTAAACACAGCTTTACTCTTCCAAATGTTTTTTCCAAATGCATTCTTACTTCTGTGAACCTGCCAGGAACTAAGTCACTTATGTTATGGGGAGGTTACTAATTTGGTCACAATTTCTAAGTAATACGGAAAACTTTTAATCCTTGGTACATTTAAAGAACAATAAAAGCAATAAAAGGAAACTGAAGTTCTTGGATAGGACAGTTCCTAAGAAAAAGTCCAATATCTTATAAATTAAAAATCCAACACTTACATGTGCTACATTTGATGGTCTATTAATCTGCTGAATATCAGCACTATTAGTAATATTCCTTAATGTCCGCACGGCTGGACTCCACGTGGCCATCATCTCCTGTCGATCAGAACTTTGGGCACCTTGTACTGAAGCCATTAGATTGCCTCTCATATCCGGAGGCAAAATGTTACCTGGCACTGGTGGGACATTGGCACATAAATTAATTAACCCAGAGTCTTTCCCTTGAGGCAACCTACGCTTTGCTGCAGATGCCTGTGGGACTTCAGCTGGTGTCCAGTTCAAATTCCTTTCTTGCTTTTCTGGAGAGGAATCTGAAGAATCATCAAACATCAGTTCCCCTTTTGCCTTATCAGCAGTAGTAGATTTTGGTGAAAAAACTTGATCACCCAAAGGTGATCCTTCTCGAGAAGATGCTGGGCTTGATAATTTTTCATCAGTACTAGCTTCATTTTGAGAATCTTGTTCTTCATTTTCTGCTTCCTCCTCCTCTTCCTCCTCCTCCTCTTCTTCCTCCTCGTATATAATTAAACGAGGATGATAAGGAGTCTCTTCTTTTTTAGCCTTATCAGCTATAGAATCCAGTACCCAGTCTGGTGTCACAATTTTAATGCTGTCCCGTTTACAAGCACATTCATATTTTTCCTGGGGAAAAAAAAAAAAAAAAAGATTTTATTTAAAGACAAAAATTCCCAAATAACTTCCTTGAGGGTAGGGCTAGAGCATAGAGAGACAGATCACAAGAGGCTGTCCAATAACAGAAAGTGATCTCTCCCAGAACCAAACTACACTGCTGTGCATAACCACAAGTTCCAAGAGATTAAAACAAAACCCTCGACATTTACAATACAGAGGACTTGGAAGGCACAACTGCAGAAGATTAAGTCTTCACCTGCAAAAACACCACTACTCAAATTCTTCTCAAACCCAATCAATCACCAAAGGATTTGAAAACATGAAATTTGGTTCTGAAAAAACCTTCAGAACTCCGGCAGCTAGGAACATCACAGTCAATACTAAGATTCAGCTGATTTTTAGGTGCACATTAAGGTGAGTCTACATATGGTTTATACTTATATTTTTCCCCATAAAAAAGTAAAAAAAACAAAAAAAAACCCCAAAAAAACCAAAAAACCCCACCCAAAAAAACCATGAAAAAGCATTTATAGAAATATCAGAATTTCACAATACAGTAGAGACAAATATTTACAAGGTGATCACTGAAAAAAAAATGCATTTCGGCAGGAATACAAATCAGAAACTGGTCAGATATTTCCCATACACCTTCTCAGAAGCTGCAAACTGTAATGTTGCCCTCAACTTGAAAGTAACACTTGTGTCCAAGTATAAGCTAAATCCATTTCAATGAGAGGTTACGATGCTGACAAAGTAGCAAACTTTATCCCTCCCTGATTCCTTACCATTTCATCATTTGAAGATAAATACAAATAGTAAAACTTTGCTGTTTCCTTTCCTAACACAGGATCAGTCCTCTATTCAAACATCCTCTTTGATGGAAACCCCTCACAAATACCAAGACAGTGGGAAGAAAAAAAAGGAAAACTTTCTTTAGAAGATTTGAAACTAATTTCAGGATCTAATATTTAAAAGTGATTGAACTGGGATTTTCTTTGTACGTCAAACAATATAAATTAACAACCAGCACATTCAGAGGAAAATAATTTAATTTAATGATTCTCTAGAGTTACTTCCTACAATGAAACTGTCATTCATACACAATAAAGAGATTACAGATGAAACCAAGTTTATTTGCAGATATGAGTTTTCATTCTTTCTTTGTGGTATTATTAAGAATCTTGTTTTACCATCTCGTGTCTAGTCAAAGCAATCATTTAAGTTTCCACTAGTGTCAAAACTGTTCTCGTTACAAACTGCTGTAGATTCCCTTGTAGTAGTATGTCAGAGCAGCAGGACTAGAAGTGTTTTAAGTAATCATCCTATAAAACTGTTCCCATTCAACGATTATGTAAATTAAACACGATATTTATTTTCTCCTAGAGTTATGAAATACTAATGTGGTTTTTTCAGTTTCTTTACTGGCAAGCTCAAGACAACCTCCTTTGCTCTAAAAAGCTTATGATTTAAGGCAACACTTCTGAAACGTTTATCATTGCCTCCTAAAAATGCCATTTTAGGTAGCAAAGCTCTTTGTCCAAGCATTACATTTTGTTGTGATGGAGGAGACAACTAGGGTGGTGTTCGGTACACCCTTCTCTTTCACAGAAGAAAGATCACGCACTTAAAAAAACCCGAAAACCCCCAAAAAAGACACCCCCCAAAAAAACCCCTACAAAGGTTCTTATAGTTTTAAATGAAACAGGGAAGAAAAAGCAAACATTTTCCATATCCACACTTTCTCTTCTCCCAATGCCAGCCCATGCTTTATCCTGAAGCACTTTCCCATGTATTGCACGCATAAGTTTATTGTCATCCTACTAGCCACACGTTTTTTCTCTATGTTAGTATAGACAGTTTACATTAAATCCAAAATATTAAAAGGGTCATTGGTGGGACAATAATATCCTCAATTTGTATAAAACAACATTAGAAACTTGACAAAATTTTAGATTTATGTGAAGAGGTACTGTATAGAACCTGATCTTACAGTTACTCACATTCAAGTAACTAACCTGTGTGACTCCTCCCACTGATTGGAAATTTGAAAAAAAAGGTGATGGAAATGAGCTCATGTTATTAAAGGACAAAAAATAAAACACACAAAAACAAAACAAAAAACTTGCTCCATCCACCACAATAACTAAAAATATCCAAGCAATCACTTTTAAGCGAGCTTCAATTTGTTTAAGTATTTTCAGTCTCTGAACAAACGCACTTAATCAATTACAAATGTTATTTCTTCTTCAGGAAGAGGAGTACCCAAACACTTCATGAAGTTTCAGTGAACTATTATAACCAAAGCATTACTAGCATTATAGTAGAGGCTACTCTGATGTGCTCAATGCTGCCTTTAGCCAGTTACCTCATCTTTCTGATTCAGTTTCTCCATTTGCATAAAGACAGCAACATTTGACTTCCTACACAGGAGTAGGAAGTCATTGATGACACTAAATTAGGAGGAACTGTGGACTGCCTTGAGGGCAGAGGGGCCTTACAGAGAGATTTGGATAGACTAGAGAGCTGAGCAATCACCAACCGTATACAAATTTAACAAGAGCAAGTGCCTGATTCTGCACCTGGGACAGGGTAATCCTGGTTATACGTACAAACTGGAGGACGAGAGGCTGGAGAGCAGCCCCGCCGACAGAGATCTGGGGGTCTGGGTTGACGGCAAGTTGAATATGAGTCAACAGTGTGCCCTTGCAGCCTAAAGGGACAACCGCGTCCTGAGGTGCATCAAGCACAGCACAGCAAGCCGGTTGAGGCACGTGACTGAAGGTTAAAGAAAGCATAACCCCGCGATGAACAAGAATGCCAACCTAGTATCAACAGACGAGGAGAAGGCTGAGGTACCCAACAACTTCTTTGCCTCAGTCTTTATCGGCAACCTCTCCCCTCACCCCTCCTGAGTTGATGGACCACACGATGCGGACCAGGGGGTCCCACTGTAAGGGAAGATCAGGTTCGAGACCACCTGAGGAACCTGAATGTACACAAGTCTATGGGACCTGATGAGATGCACTCCAGAGTCCTGAGGGAATTGGCGGATGTAGTTGCCAAGCCACTCTCCATGATATTTGAAAAGTCCTGGCAGTCAGGTGAAGTCCCTGGGGCCTGGAAGAAGGGGAATGTGGTGCCCATTTTCAAAAAGGGAAGAAAGGAGGACCCTGGGAACTACCGCCCTGTCAGCCTCACCTCTGTGCCTGGGAAGATCATGGAGCAGATCCTCCTA